GATTATAATCGGCAGCGTCTATAAACGCGATTCAATGCGCGCGACACCCCCCCCCATACTTACCTTGGCGGGCAGAGGCGAGCAACAACAGATCGCGACGAAGGAGGTAAGTTCTGATATCAAATTGTAACGAACCCAGTTGGGAGAGAAACTTATCAAGTGTCGAAATACAAGATGTCTCAGTGCTGACAAATGTCTCCAATAATCATGAAATGTGATCGTAATACAATGTCTTGTAACCATAGGACGAAGTAGATAGGAGGGAGAGTAGACTTAGAGGGTGGAAGAGAAAGTATCCATCAATATCTCTGTAAATAGAACTTCTCAATCCCCACTTCTTCTTTGGGCGTCTCCCCACATCCACATCAGCAAACAGTGTCTGACGAGATCTGATCACAACATAGTGCCACGTAGGCCCAAATCTCCCATGAAGATGTCTCTGCACCGCGCAATGTCGACAACATCAACAGGTAAGTCTCCCTCTCTCTCACTCAATTAATCCCATAGTTCCTGATCTCCCTCCTTATCGCATCCCCAATTTGTGCCAAAGACAGTGTGGCATACACCACGTCAACAATGCCAAAGACAGCATGGCAAGTGCCACGTCAACATCCAAGAAGACAGTTGACGCCCAGAAGCAGAAGGGCGCCAGACACAAAGAAGCAGTGTCACGTTGTTGTCGCACAGTGCCAACGTCTTGCCAGCGTCAAGCCAGCATCAAGCCAACGTCATGCCAGCGTCAAGCTGCAAGTGCAAGACTGAATGTTGACCCCCAGGGGCTGGGTCCATAAGTAATGTTGACGTCGTTGACCAGCCTCTGGTCTCTCACGTACGGAGGCTCAGATTGACTCACAGTCGACAGCCTGGATCTTGTACAGTTACAGACTTCCACTTGGACCAAATGCTGCCTGGAATCCCTGGATACCTGCGTACAACCAAGTGTGTGTGTCTGATCGGTGGCCTAAACAGGGTCCGTGAAGAGTTTGACTCGCCAGCCTCAATATTTTGATTTACAATTGACTTTGGTCAATTGTCGAGCGCAGGGCCTCGGAACCCTCATTTCAAGGGCTTTGTTTCTCACGATCGGACGCAGGGCCTTGAGGCCGATTCGTGGCCTCCGGGTGGCCCCCTTGGCCGACGACATAGGCATATTTGAGCGGGTTATTGCATATTTTACGATCAATCAATCGACCAATCAATCAACCAATCAATCCACCAATCAATCAATCAGTCAATCAATCAACCAATCAATTAATCAATCAATCAATCAATCAATCAACCAATCAATCAATCAACCAATCAATCAATCAAGGAATCAAGCAATTATTATTATATGTATATATTTCTTAACACGTGGAGTCCTGGACCCAAAAAGAAATCATTTTTTTTTTTTTTTTTTGATGGGGGGGTAACCCCTGACACCCACAGCCCCCCCAACACCCCCCGAAAGGCCACGTACGGAGGGCCGGAAGTCCGTACGTACGGGCCGTACGAGCGCTGAGGGCCTGTACGTACGGTCATACGGAAGTCCGTATGGGCCGGCCCCATACGTGTTGACGACATTGATCGAGGAGTCGGAGGCAGAACCGAGGAAAGTAGATTTCAACAGTAACGGAAAAAGGAAGAGGGTAGTTGGGTACTTGGGATTAACTCACCAGCCGCTGAGCTGCAGAAGCTGAAGTCTAGATCGAGGAGCGGTGGGGTGAAGGTTAGACAACCACCCATCCTTGCCTCTTAAGACGAGGACGACGGAGTGAAGAGAGCCCAGAACGTGGGTGGGCAATGGCAATGCAGGGGAGCGAGGGTGGGGCGTGGGGGGTGTTCCAGACTAGCCTGAGAGATGGGGGATTAGGGGAAGGAGTGGGCTACGGTGGTAGTGGAGGTTATGAAGGGGAGGGATGCTTGGGAGGACCGGATGTGTGGGGGCGCTCAAAAAGCAGGCCCAAATGTCTGCTCTCCTCACTGCATCTGATTTGTTGTGTAGCCTATCCTGCATGTCCTTCCGTGCTTCGTGGGTCTTAATTGTGATGGTGTCTGCTATGGTCGCCGTTGCTTCCATACACCCGTAGGTGTGCTGCTTTCTTTCAGAGGCGCAGCGCATCCTCCAGGCAGCCATGAGAACAGTGAGGCGCGTTTGTTTGAAAAGATTCATCAGAAATGGCGCGTTTGTTTGAAAAGATTCGCCACAAATGGCGCGTTTGTTTGAAAAGATTCGCCACAAATGGCGCGTTTGTTTGAAAAGATTCGTCATAAATGGCGACCAGCTGTTCCCATTTGGCAGCATTCCCCCCGAGTAATATCGTATAGGTATTCCACGATAGGTGCACTCCGGCAAGGTAATGCCATGCTGCGTCCCACCACTGCCATAGTTGTGCCACCATTGGACATTCTAGTAACCAATATTCCAAGGTTGCTCTTTTCCTAGGGAAGGTGTGGAGGCAGTAGGCACACAGTGGCGACAGTAACCCTTTTTCCTCAAGGTCTGATCTTTCTGTAATCCAGTCTGGTGTGGGCAGACAGCGGTGGATGATCTGCCATTGCCGGCCAGGAATCAGTCACCCCCACACCCGTCCACTCCTCCGCACCCTCCTAAGGGTCAAGAGAGATGCAATCAGGGCGACTGAGAAATGGGAATAAGGGCTCAAAATGACCATCCAAGGACGGCCCATACCAGGTTTGCAAATCATCTACCTTTCCAAACACTTAATCATGTCAATTGAACCACTTGAACTATTGCTTGTGCAGGGACGCTGGACCCGATTTCCAGCAGGTGCTGCTCCCCACCAATAGATGGGGCCTTCAACTCGGAAAAAAAAAAGAAGTAAAAAAAAAGAGAGAGAGAGAGCCCAGAACATGGTCATCGAAGGGGCGCCAGCAGCAAAGGTGTGAAGCTCGAAGATATTATTAAGATGTGGGCGGTGATTGCCCAGCAGGTAAATGAGGCGAATGCACCTGGTGTACCTATGAACAAGGAGTCGAAGGATGGAATGGGAAAGACTAGTACCATCATTGACAACAAAGTCATGCACGAACATAGCGATGATTCAGAGGGGAAGGAGGACAGACTCAAGGTAAGCCGCATGGAACAACACAAGAGCGGAGGGAAAGAAGTTGGGATCATGGAATACATAAGGCTGCGTCTCGACCATTCATAGAGATGACCGAGAAAAAGATCAAGAGCCTCTCAGACTGCTTGAAAAGCGACACTAAGTGGGAGCGGAAGGATAATGGCTTGTGGGCGTTAGCTAAGCTAGATACAAATGAATACCCAGCATGGCTGTGCCGGCAACCAGCCGGTTGGACCAGGCCGGATCGAACCGGGCCGGTTGGCCCCCCGGTGGTCCAACCGGAATTCCGGTTGGGCCCAAAAGTGAGTCAAAAAGATTTTTTTTTCTTTTTTGAAAACATGGTTGGACTGCGCTCACCGAGATCTCCCCGAATCCGCGAAGAAAACTTTTCT